ATTTTTTGACAATAATATTATCTGTCTTCCTTCTTATTTATTTATTTGTTTGTTTGTTTTCAAAGGATTTTTATATTATATAAAATTGTGAAATAATTCCACTTTGTGAAGTCAAATGAGATTCAAAATAGTTTCTATATTTGAAAGCCAATCAGAGGTATATGAAAATCTATTTCTCACTCTAAAATTAATACTTTTTAAGAGTTGAATTTTTAAAGATAATGTGAATGATTCACAAGTTCACATATTTTACTGTCATGTTATACATGCACAACAATATTTTTTTGAAGTTCGTTTTTCCTTTGAGCATTACCATTTAACTACTGTATTATGACTTCAGACTTACTTTACTGCCTGTTAGAAACCTCAGCAGAGCCAAGTATTAAATGAAGATTATATTGTTCCTTATCCCTCAAGTTGTCACTATAAAACATGCAAGTGCTGAGTTAAAAATAAAAAGTGAATATAGATAGTGCTAGAAAGAAACATTAAGTTAATGTAGTTACTTTAATTCCCAACAATAAAGAGGTGACATAATAAAAAATACACCAGGAAATCTTGAGACTTATTGTTAGGACTACAGATGATGCAGCAGCTGCAAGTCCCTGGTTAAGGTTAACATCCAACAGCTTTGAATCTCAAATCTAAATGACTGTTGATAGTAACAAGCCTAGAATGGCTTGATCCCAGGCAACTTGGTGAGACACTGCTTGTAATGAGCAGGGCTATTTTGATAATACTGTGGAAGCTTTTGTTCAATAAAACTTTAATCTGGGTTTTTTTTTTTAAAAAAATGCTTTCTCTTTTTCTCTTTACTTTGCAGTTCCTATTGACTCAAGGACTCAGTTAACATTCTGGAAGGATAGACAAAATCCTCTTATGTCTTGCTTTCTCAATCAGATATATTTGAGAATAACATATGAGTTCTATTGGTTTCTGTACTTTCATCAGACCACACTGAAATATTCCCCACCAGAAGACTGAAGTCAAATGCCCACCTGAAGTAATTTATTTAGTTGATACAGAAATTTTCTCCGAGTTAGTCAGTAAACTGTATTTTAATTCTTTTTGCAACAAGAAAAATAGTTTTGCATATCAAACTATTGCTATGTAAACCTACTGTTAAAATAAGTCAAGGTTTTAAAATATTAAATACAGAAACAAAGTTACTATCTCTGACTAATAATTTGCTTTTTATTGTTCATTAAATCTCAGTGCACAGATGAACTGGCATGAATACAAAAGTTTATGGTAATCTTCACAGCTGTACGTAGGATGGCTTTAATTTTTGACATACAGTTAGAGCACTATGTGTTTCTGTTTCATTGCTCTGTAAAATGTAATGTGTAGCAGTACATTTATATGGAAAATTCTCACAAATGCAAATACAATTAGTTTTATGAGTTTTTAGAATAACACATAAAATACACATTTTGCAACCATGCACACAAGCAAATACATGTTAAGTATATTTGATTGGTTAGTTTTAGAAAGGAAGATGAATGACAGCAAGAGTACTAAAAGAAATTTAAGAAATAAAAACTCATAAAAAAAGATGGAGGTGTTGGGGTGTAGCTCTGTGGTAGAGGCTTCCCTAGCTGTAGACAGGCTCTGAGGCTTAATCCCTGGCACTGAGGGGGGGGGGGAAGAAAAAAAAGAGGGGAAGAGGAATGATGGAATGAAAATTTATCATAACTTTTCTTCAACTATAATAACTAAATTTATAATTCATCATGATACTACTAAAGACTGTGTGTATATGTACATGCTGGAATACATTTTTAGACAAAAACTATTTTATATTATTTCTTTTCCACTTTAAAATTTTGGTAGTTTACTTTCTGTACATTTTTTATACATTTTATGATTAGTACTTTAAAGACTAGACTACTATCTTTGAAGTAATAGAATCTACATGTTCATTTCTCCATGGTCAATTTACTTTATAGTCAATGATTCATTCTTAACTGTATATATGAAATTTTTCATTTTCTAAAATAAACAAAATACAAATTTTCAATGTTTAAATATTTCCAATGTTAAAATGTTTCCAGTCTTTAAAATCTTTCTAATGAATCTAATATAGCCTCTTCTTAAATAAACTGAACTGAATTTCACATGTTTGGTATTGACTGCTACACATTGATGAGCATTTCATGTGCTCGGCAGCATGTATATCTTATATAACAGACCACTCTGTTTTAGGTAGTATATCTTGCCACTTGCATCTCTGTGAGGTTTAGAGAATCTTTAGATATCTTTAGACCAATGTGGACTGTGAGTTGTACTGTGTTTTCTTCATGGGGAGAAAAAGATGCCTCTTTCTTTGGATAGACATAGTCCCAAGCCAAGATGAGTACCTTGGAGATCAGTTCTACTCCTTCTCAGATACTTGAACCCCAAACTTTGGTCAAAGGTAGAAAAAGGGAAGTTTGGAAGTTAAATGGCTTAAACCAGGATTCTATAAAAATTCTAAAATTAGAAGACACCTAAAGGTGAAAAAATATTTTGTTAAGAAAATACAGATACACATACATATGCATATAATAATATATCAATAATAATTTTAATCTAGATTTATTAACAGAAGCAAAATCATGACATTTTTTAAGAGAAGAAAAGAGTGAAATATAATACATAGAGTTGGGTTGGGTTCAATTAGACTTAAAATGAAAGGGAGAAACAGAGGAAAAGGGAGAGAAGTCTAGAATATTAATCATCATGTTCTTAACAGAAATATCTCTGGGTACTGAATTTTCAGTGAGCTTTTTTTTTTTGCTGATTTGTTTTTAAATTGATTTCCTAAAATTTATTTTTTTTCATTCTGTACTAAATATCATATATTTCATATCATATTAACTATATCTAATATCTAGTTATGGTGATTTTTCTGAATAAAAACCTCAGCTATTTTCATAAATAAGACTCAACTGATAATGATCTGATTTTACACAGAAGACATGAAATTTTCTGTCATGGGTGCATTTCTGAAGTCATTTTAGTTATTACTGAACATCACCAGACATAAGGGTGACTTTTTCATTAAAATAAATTATATTTAATAATTTCAATGATTACAGGAACAATCTCATATTACCAACTGTTCAGCTTAATCAGCAATATCAATGTACATATCATACCACATATACAATATTTTGGTGAAATGGAAAACATCTCAAAATATTAGGAACCTTGTTTAAACATTTACTGGCAAAAATGTCTTCAGTAAAAACATCAATTTTTAAAACTTTCAAAACATCACTTCTCACACCCATATGATGTGTCTGCTTCTTTCAAGTCCTTATCAACACTTCCTCCATCTTCTGTGATTTGAAGAGAGCAAACAGCTCTGTGTTTGAGTTGCACATAAAATAAAAACAAACAGGTTCTGCCTGAGGGCTGTAGGGGCTCAGCTATGATTATTATTCACCTCTACATATTTTGCTGCTTGAAACTTATGACACATTTGGCGACCTCAGATTATTTCCCCATTTGAAAAGACTTTTACTTCTTCTTTAGAAAACGGAA